AACTGCTGAACCCACTAATCAATTCTAATGCTTAATGGCCATCATGTGCCCCTGAAGGCAGTGCCTGTCAACAGCTACAGTCCCCTGGCACAGCTGAATCTATGGTTACCTACCAGTTTACAAGAATTATGTGGGACCGAGGGACATGCTGAATGACACCACAGGGGTGTGGTCAGCAAAATCCAGATTGTGAGAAACTCTACCAGAGAAATGATCTGATTTCTTCAACTAATAAATGAGAGAAAAACTAGGAGAGGGAGGTATAATGGATAAAAGGGGATGTAAGAAGCATATTACAAATGATTCAAACAGATCAGCTGTGAGAAGACAATTATAAGACATAGCTTTTGATAGAAAAGAAAAACCAAGTGATCTTAATGTTATTAAATAATTATCATTAATTTGTTAGATGTAATAATGGTACTGTTGGCAACTTTTAGGGCAAAAGAAAGAGTTCTTATTTCTTAAAGAGACATACTGAAGTATTTATAGGTGAAATGATTATGTGTCTGAGATTTGCTCTTATATAATCCATTGGAAAAGGGGATTAAGAAGGGGATTGCTGAGTAAGCCAGTTTTAGCCAAGTGATGAGTATATGGGGGTTCATTGTACCATTTTCTCAGCTTAAAAGTGTCCAGAATAAAAAGTTAAAGAAAATCTTCACAGCAGTCTGGACAAGTAGATATTATCACCCTCATTTAGGAGATGAGAAATGAAGATCAGAGAGGGCAAGAGACCTGCTTGAGGTCACACAGCATCTAAAGAGCATAATGAAGATTCAAATTCAGGTTTTTGGTCCCCAAGCATAAAGCAGAAGCACATCTATTTCCACCCCACTCCCAGAGCCCAGTAAGCACAGACTTCTCCCAGGCAATGTGGAGACAGAGTCACAAACAGAAGCTAAGCTACAGACCTAGAGCCCAAGGGCCTAGCATGGAGGAACTTTGTTGTCACTGAATCCACCTGAGACGTGGGCCCCTCTGCTGACTCCCTGCCACGAGGTGACCGGGCCTTGGCACACTTTCAGGCGGCCCACCACACCTCAGAGAGCATGACTCTGAGAACATCCTTCCTCATGTTAGGCCTAGTCTACCTCTTGGGCCCACAGAACCAGTCTGTTCCCTCTAGAAGGGGCCTGATGTGATTTGCACTTGATACCCTTGACAGTGGGGAGGCTCTAAGGGTTTATAAATGGAGAAGCTCATGTGGAGACAGGTGTTTGGGAAAGCCACTCCAGCAGCTATTTATAAGGGTCGAAGGGCTGGGGAAAATAGGACAAACCAGCAGCCCAGAGGCCAGTTAGGGAGGGATACCCTGAATGGTCCATGCCTGCCTGGAGAGAGAAAAGGTTTCTACCTGGGAAACAGTATCTGGAATCTGGCAAGACTCCATGCCTGATTGGGTGAAGGAGAGGGGAGAGAGAAAAGAAGGGAGAAATCTAAGGTCTGGAGTCCACGGCCAGGAAGAAACATGATGCTTTTGATAGAAAAAGGGGAAGTAGGAAGAGTCCCTGACTTGAGGGACCACCTCTGCAGAGGGGCAGGATGAAGGTTTCTAGAGGACAATTCCCGGAGCTCCGCAATACCCAGGCTCAACCAGACTTGGCTGGTTCAGGCTCCTGCCAGCCCACACAGTGCCTTTGTGCTAATTAGAGAAAGACACCCCTTCCTCAAAACACTTTACTGACATCTGTTGGCAAACTGGCGTAACATTCAGTCAAGTGTCTGGTTTCTTGAACCAGACACTTGACTGCCATCTGCCGGACAGTGAGAACTGTAAATATGCAATCTATGCTGTCGTCTGTGGATGAGGTGTGCTCATCTTAGTTGTGGATGAGGTGTGCTCATCTTAGTTGAGGTGTGCTCGCACAGTGCACAACCTGCACAGTTGTCCATGGAGACGCTGAGTACATATGTACCCTAACCCCTTCCTTCTTCCCAGGCTGGCCCTGTATAGGATGGCACAACAATAGGACCAAGTCAGACCCTGGGGGGCGAATCAGCTGCTTAGAACTAGGCCTCCTTGACACTCAGGAAGGAGGAGGCCAGGGGGTCACGGCCAGTGGGAGCCATCATGGTGGTCAAAGGTCAGACCCGCCTCCAAACCTTAGACTCAGGAAATGATTCCTGCACAAATGCAGGTAGGTGGACAGCTCTGTTCCTGCCAGGCCCATGCCATCCAGGAGTGGGCGCTGTGCGGCCACCAGAGCACCAGACACGCCCTGTAGGGACTATGTTCACTGGGACTGGAGACGCCAGGAACCCAGCACACACTGGGGCCGGGAGCCCTCGGCACATACCCTGAACATCCGACACTGTCAGGCCCATTTCTATGTATTTTCTCTTTACGATAGTCTGTTGTGGTCTCCATATTTCTTGGCTTTTCTATCTGTCAATCTCTGCCTCTCTTTTTCTATGCCTGGGTATCTGCCAGTCCTAAGACAGGGCTGCCTGTCTCCATTTCTCTGTCTTTAACTCTCCATAACCTGCCTTTCTCAGTCTCACTCACCAAGGCTCCCAGACGTACAAGCTTGCACGCACCCTAGCCTCTGGGACATTCTGGCCACTTCAGTTAGGAAAGCTGGATGACACAGGGTGCGGGGGCTGCATTCCTAGAGGAACTCAGTCAGCTGAGATATGGGGGACGGGCTGTGAAGCCCCAGAAGGTGCCCAAGTCCCTCCATCAGCCCTCATCACTTGCAGGCTACACCCCGCCCCCAAGCCCTTGATTCAGCCCCAAAGGCCAGGCAAGCCCAGTCAGCATCAGGGGCAAGGGCCTCCTGCTGGGGGCTCTCAGAGGCTCAGGGGTTCTCCAGAGGCAGAAGTGTTCTGGTTCGAATTCTCCCTGCAGCTCCCTCCTGTGGCAGATCCTGGGAGATGGGTGGGGGGAGGGGGAGTCAATAGGGATAGGGAAGGTGGAGATGGAAGGGTACCAAGATAGGCCAGATCTGACCTCTGCTTCTTCCAGCACCAGCCACCAGGACTCAGGAGTGATCAGAGAGGGGCTGTCAAGGAGTTTCCCCTCCCATTTCCTCCACTATGCCTTCAATTCCACCCTATGCTTTATCTTTCCAGGTTGAAGCCTTAGTAGGAGATTGTATAGTATGCTGGTTAGGTACAGAGGCTCTGGACTCTGTTATACCTGAGTCTGATCATGCAAACCAGGATTTGCTGTGTGACCCCCAAGCAAGTTACTTAATCTTTCTGGGCCTTGGGTTTTTTTATTTTTAAAGAAGACTCTTTTTTTTAAGATCAGTTTTAGGTTCACAGCATAATTAAGAGGAAAGTACAGAGATTTCCCATATACTCCCTGAGCCCACATATGCACAGCCTCCTCCATTAATAACATTCCCCCACCAGAATGGTACATTTATTAGAATCAATGAATCTACACTGACACATCATTATTACCCAAGGTTCATAGTTTACATCAGGGTTCACTCTTGGTGTTGTACATTCTGTGGTTTGGATAAATGTGTAATGACTGTTATCTACCATTATAGTACCATACAAAATAGTTTTACTGCCCTTAAAATCCTCCATGTTCATCCCTCTCTTCCCCCAACTACTGGTAACAACTGATCCTCTTGCTGTCTCCATAGTTTTGCCTTTTCCAGAATGTCGTATCATTGGAATCACATAGTATTATACATAGTATGTATGTATATATGTAGCCTTTTCAGATAGGCGTCTTTCACTTAGTGATATGCATTTAAGTTTCCTCCATGTTTCTTCATGGCTTAATAGCTCATTTCTTTTTATCACTGAATAATATTCCATTGTCTGGACGTACCACTTTATTTCCTTTTAAAAGTGGGATTAACTACAGATATACTTACACACAGGCATACTGTACACAGTTATTCACTGCAGTCTCATTTGCAGACACTGACAACTGAAAACAATCTAAATGTCTGTCAGTAGAGGATTGGCTGAACAAATTACGGTACATCCACATGCTGGGATGCTATGCAGCTATGCAAAAGGATGAGGAAGCTCCTAACGAACTGACTTCCAAGCACCTACAGAATTAGTAGTTAGTTAAAAAAGTCAAGTGCAGAATAGTGTGTGTGAAGAATAGTCTCACTGTTTATGTGAAACAAAAGTAAGGAAGCCATAATGAATATATTATTAGTTTGTGTATGCAAAGACTACCTCTCAAGGCCTCACAAGAAGCAAAGGCTGCCTCCAGGAAGGGGAACTAGGGGATGGGGTACATATATATGCAATATATATTGCATACATTTTTGATATAGTTTGATTTGGGAATGTGTATTATCTATATTTTTAGGTAATGAAGTTATTATTTTTTAAAGATTTTTAAAAACCAAAAAAATGCAGGGGATAATAACAGCCCCTACATCACAGGGCTGTTAAGAGGATCCAGTGGGATGATTTAGGGCCCAACCCAACCCACAGTGACCGCCCAGTCGATGCGCACTACTATGGACTGCTGTGCTGTCTCCGCTCATTTGTGGCCATCTGTGGACGGGGACACACCCAAGTCAGCAGCTGAGCTGAAAGTGGAGACCCTTCCTACTCAAAGTGTGGCCTGGGGAGCTGCAGTCCTGGCATCACCCAGGAGCTGGTTAGAAATGCAGAATCTCCGGCCCCTCTCCAGACCTCCTAAATCAGAACCCACATTTTAACAAGACTCCCAGGGGATTCATGCACATATTAAAGTTTTCAAAATACTGGTGTAGATGGTAGGGA